TTTTTTTTTTTTTTTTTTTTTTTTTTTTTTTGGCTAAATTAAAGTAAATGGGATGGACGATGCAAGTAAATGAGAACAAATTGTAAAGTCTGTATTCAAATTATAAAAGTCTAGGGAATGATTTCACCGTACTATCGACAATATTTTCAACCTTCACAACTATTTATATCAATCTTTTTAAAATTTATAGGCAAGAACACTAAATTGATTCCATTTCCCTCTCTCGAGCGCCAAATATTTTAATTCTAATATTTCTATTTCGAACTAAAACATAAAAATTATCAAGCACGTGGTTCTTAATTTAAACAAGTTTCAAAGATTTTGCACTTTCTCTCAAAACCTACAAAATCTAGGTTATATTGTCTTAAATCACACCTAAATTTGCCTTTCTTGATCATCGAAATTTAAAGCATCAAATCTTTCAATGAGTGACTAGTAAATTGAAATCATTGCACAAGAATCAATATAAATAAATAAGCGAAAATATTAAATGAAATAATTATATCGGAATCAAAACATGTCTACGTAGGTTACATCAAACCGTAGAATTGATGTTTAGCTCATGATGGAAGAATTAAATCTAAACAAATTGATGAATAACATAAAGAGAAAAAGAAAGAAAAACTCTTTTGAAACTTTTAATTGAAATTCCCCTTGATGTTTTTCATGCCTCCTTGCTCTTGATGAATTTTTTGTTAAATTGTCTTCAATCTTGCCCCCTTCAATTTTTCTGTTTGGCCCCTTCTATTCTTATTCAAAATAGGGTTTTTTGAATGATATTTATAGTATATTGAGGTCTTGGACGAATTAGGGTTGAATTGGACCAATAAAAGAGTCCAAAAACACAAAAATGTGTTTTCCCACATATCCGATGCCTCAGCGTCCAAGATGGGCAATGCGGTGCCGGACTTGCTGCTATTTTCAGTGAGTTGGGTACTGTGGCGCCGGTTCGGTCGAAAACGACAAACTGTACATCTTTCAATATTTTGAGCATAACTTTTTTGTTCGATGTCCGATTCAGGTGATTCAAGATGAGTTGGAAAGCGAATTCAATGGAATACAATTTTGCTTGAGACATCATTCTCCAATTCGATCTTTTGATATGTCAAAAATGGGTGTCAATGTGAGACTGAAATTCTAGAGTATAACTTTTCGGTTGGAAATTGATTTGTGATCATGTTTTTCCTTAATTTGATCACTTTGACATCTTTCTTCATCCAATTGCCTATTACTCTTAGATCTTCATCATGTGGTTTGACACAACTTTTGAATATTTTCACTTTAGTTCTCGAACTTTGGATCTCTTACAATTTGACATTTTCTCCAATTTCACCAACTTTTACTTATTTCATTCAGTTTCATCAACCTATATCACAATATTAAAATAAACATTAAAACATTCTAAAACACTCTCAATGGTAGCAACATAATGAATTAAGTGGTACAAATATAATGAGTATGGAGAACTCATCATGGGATCTAGCAAAGGAGAGAGTTTAGGAGCTAGTAAGAGTAACTGTACCTGGGGTGGTGGCATTGAGTAAACGAGAGCCAACTTTGAAGCGAGAGTTGGTAGGTAGGAAACAACCATGGACGGATCCACATGGGGTCATGTGGGGTCAATTGACCTCAGAATATATATATATATTTTTTTAAAATATGTAAATTATCTAAACATTGTCCATTGCCAAGCCCAAATCTTCAAATTACCCAAAACCTTGTCCATTGCCAAGCCTAATTGCACAAGCCCATTTATTGTTCTTTCACTTGTCCAACCTCAAGCGACCAAGTTTATTTTCTCTCCACTCCTTCACGTGGCTTTTCATTTGCATTTGGACTTTCTCTAAACCCTACAGAGAGAAGAATTAACACAGTGGTCTATGGAGAGTTCGAGACCACCATTGAAATTTTTAGATTCTCTTTTTGTATTAATTTTGTGATTTTTCTTCCATCTAGGTAACAAATCAATAGCCTACTTGTTTGATTTTATATGTTTTTATTCTAAAATTCATTTGAACTCGAGATTTGAGACATACTGTTGACCACATCCCCATTGCTTGTTATCTCGTCTAAAACTGAAAGTTTGAATGCTTAACATAGATGAATGATTCAACATAATGTTCATAGTTTTTCAAAATTATGACATCGAGTTCTTAGACAGTCTAGATTTTCTATTATTTTTCTCTGTTGCAGTTTAATTTTTAGCTCATTTTATCTTCATATTTAAATTAAATTGGTTAAAATATTCAAATATTTTTAGTTTGAAAATGATAGAAGTCAAAAACAACATTTTTGTTTGCAATAATTGCTTATAAACGACGTTTGGAAGTCGAAGATATGAAATTTTGATGTGTTATGAGATTGGACAATGCGTTTTAACCTCCACTTGTATAATTAGTTGGATTATATGTTGTTTAAAAAAATTGTATTTCAAATTTTACCCCACAATACTGAACGTCTAGCTTCGTCCCAAAAAACTAGAAGAAATGTACCCTCAAGTGGTTGAATAGTATGAGGTAGAATAGAAACCTTTGGTTGTTTGGAGGGTTTGACTTTGGACTTGGTTGCGGCGATGTAGGAGAAAGATTTGGTGGTGAGGACGTGGGCTTCGATGTTGGTCGTGGTGCCTTTGGAATGGCGGCGATGGCTTTGGTCCTAGTCGTAGTGCCTTCACAACGATGACAATAGGTTGGATGTGGTTGTAGTGATTGGGTCTAGTTTTTGTGTTTGATTTTGGGTGGGTGGGGAAGATGGAGTTATTCGCATCTTTTCTTCTTTTTTTTTGGTTGATTTTTATTTAATTATTTGAATAGTTCTTTATAAAAAAAAATATTTATTTACCATTTTGTCCCTAACTTAAGTGGTCTTTTTAAGTCAACATTACTATTTCAATGTTGACTAACAGTATTATATATATATATATATATATATATATTTTTTTTTTTTTTTAAAATATGTAAATTATCTAAACATAGTCCATTGCCAAGCCCAAATCTGCAAATTACCCAAAACCTTGTCCATTGCCAAGCCTAATTGCACAAGCCCATTTATTGTTCTTTCACTTGTCCAACCTCAAGCGACCAAGTTTATTTTCTCTCCACTCCTTCACGTGGCTTTTCATTTGCATTTGGACTTTCTCTAAACCCTACAGAGAGAAGAATTAACACAGTGGTCTATGGAGAGTTCGAGACCACCATTGAAATTTTTAGATTCTCTTTTTGTATTAATTTTGTGATTTTTCTTCCATCTAGGTAACAAATCAATAGCCTACTTGTTTGATTTTATATGTTTTTATTCTAAAATTCATTTGAATTCGAGATTTGAGACATATTGTTGACCACATCCCCATTGCTTGTTATCTCGTCTAAAACTGAAAGTTTGAATGCTTAACATAGATGAATGATTCAACATAATGTTCATAGTTTTTCAAAATTATGACATCTAGTTCTTAGACAGTCTAGATTTTCTATTATTTTTCTCTGTTGCAGTTTAATTTTTAGCTCATTTTATCTTCATATTTAAATTAAATTGGTTAAAATATTCAAATATTTTTAGTTTGAAAATGATAGAAGTCAAAAACAACATTTTTGTTTGCAATAATTGCTTATAAACGACGTTTGGAAGTCGAAGATATGAAATTTTGATGTGTTATGAGATTGGACAATGCGTTTTAACCTCCACTTGTATAATTAGTTGGATTATATGTTGTTTAAAAAAATTGTATTTCAAATTTTACCCCACAATACTGAACGTCTAGCTTCGTCCCAAAAAACTAGAAGAAATGTACCCTCAAGTGGTTGAATAGTATGAGGTAGAATAGAAACCTTTGGTTGTTTGGAGGGTTTGACTTTGGACTTGGTTGCGGCGATGTAGGAGAAAGATTTGGTGGTGAGGACGTGGGCTTCGATGTTGGTCGTGGTGCCTTTGGAATGGCGGCGATGGCTTTGGTCCTAGTCGTAGTGCCTTCACAACGATGACAATAGGTTGGATGTGGTTGTAGTGATTGGGTCTAGTTTTTGTGTTTGATTTTGGGTGGGTGGGGAAGATGGAGTTATTTGCATCTTTTCTTCTTTTTTTTTTTGGTTGATTTTTATTTAATTATTTGAATAGTTCTTTATAAAAAAAAAAATATTTATTTACCATTTTGTCCCTAACTTAAGTGGTCTTTTTAAGTCAACATTACTATTTCAATGTTGACTAACAGTATTATGGATGGAATCAGTGATTTGGACCATGACCACACTTAAATATAAATTTTGGGACTACAACCACAAAAATGAAAAGTTAAGGTGTAATCTACAACAAAATGAAAGGTTTGGGACCGATGCTTCAATTTTTCCATTTTACAATCACTTATAGTTTTATGTGTCAAACATTCCTAAACCAACCGTGGATAAATTGAGAACAAGGTTGATGGAATAATTTATTTAGCATCGCTAATGTTAAAAAGAACTCTATGTGATATGTAAATGATATTAAGGTGTGTTTGTCATTCATTATTTGAAAAGAATGTATTATGAAATAGTGATTGATGTTGAAATGTGTGGTTAAAAAAGAAGAAAAATTTTTAAATTTATATGTAATATTATTTTAATAAAGAATTTGTGATTGAAAATGAGTACTTCAGAAAAAATAATGAAAAAAAAATGAGAGAAAATTAACGACAAACTAGGGCTAAATAATAAATTTTTATGACAGTATGGCTGTATGTAACGCGTTTAATTAAATTTACCATACACTGACATAGCTAGCATTGCTCACAGAGATGACTTGAGAATTAACTGTCAACTATCGTCACTTTTAATTGCAGCCATTTTTTCATTAAATTATTTGGCGCATCCATTGCAGTCGGCTGTTTTAGCATTTCTAGGCAAAGCTCACTCAAGCGTGACAAGTAATTGATCCGCGTTGGGATTCTTATCGACAGCTGGTTAGATATAGACACGTGTACATGCACAACCAACGGCAAAACCAGCAAACCAGTACCAGCATCAAATTCATTAGAACAGTCTGTGTTCGGGGATGAAATTCAACTAAGAATCAAAATAGATATGCAGTAGAAACTGTCAGATAGTATATTTTACCACGATAGCTGCAGATCATTAGGAGTTTTACACAAAAGTAAGTAACAAAGAAACCCATTTTTTTCATTGAAAATCTATGGCTTATGCTTCTGGGTATAGATATAGTCAAGATGGGCAGCCAGAGTCCTTCTCATCAAACATTCTTCTTCACCAACTCCCTTGCAGCTCTCTTCCACATCCACATGCTGTGGTTCAGCACCCTGTCAAAAATAAAAAAATAAAAATCAATAAACACAAATATTAACTATCTTATACAATAAAGAAAAGAGAGGAGAAGAAAAGAGATAATATATTTATTCGACAAACCTCGTATTGGGTTTTAACAGCTGGCTCGGGGCGTGCACCAGATGAGAGAGTGAAGAGGAAGAGCAGTGCTATGACGAACATGGTAGTAAATTTAGACATTTTTTAACTTTCTTTGCTTACTGGGTGGGTTTGTTGAGAGTGCGACGACGTCAATTTATATGGAGAAGATAAGAGAAAGCCAATTGCGAAACGTATCAATGTGAAATCGGAAGAGTAAAAGTGGACTTTATGCGAATTTTAGAAAAAGAGATAATTAATGGCGACCACAGGAATACCGACTGAATTTTGCCCAAAAGGCGAATTGTTCGACGTCGTTTTAAAGAACACGTTGACTAGTGCTAAACAATTTCATTTTCATCTTTAATGTGGCCTCTCATATTTTCTTGAATACTCTTTTCATTGGTTCACATGTTTTAATGGGATGTTACCTTTCTAGTAAAATTTGGTTCTCGTCCACCATATTATTAATGAGTACTATCGATACTCAAATTTCCCTTCTTTTTGGTGGGGATCACACTAATTAGTAAGTAATGAGTTCAAAGTTACACTATTTAAAATTGACTCGACAAATTATATTATGCTCCTGTTTGATTCTCATTTTAATGTAAAAATGTGCATTTTGGAATAGTAAGTTGATGAAAAATGCGTGGTTAAAAAATAAGAAAAAGTTTTGAGTTTGTTTATAATATTATTTTATTGTAAAATGCATGATTGAAAAATACAATGAGAGAAAATTTATTTTAAAAATAATGAGAATGTTATATATTTTTGTTTGATATTATTGAAAACGTGTTTACCATCTTTTATCGTTAATTTTATGTTTATTTGCATACTATGAATCTATGATCAAAAATGCCGTTTGTACAATACTTTTTTTTACATCAATTTTCACACTTTCTCATAAAGGTGGGGTCCACGATTAAAACCACTTGCATGTGTGTGTAATGTGAAAAATGATGCACTTGTAGAATGGTTGGTCTATGATTTTACTTTGTACTGAAGGAAGAGTAAAAATTGAATGGACAGCATAGAAAGGGAAACCAATCAAAGGGTTCATTCCACGTACTGGCAAAGTCCATCGGATGAGTCATCAGTTACTAAAGATCCTACACTAATGATGTGTAATCATAATTAAGATGCACGTTAATTGCGTTTAAAGTCTTTTAATTTGTTAATTAATTTCAGTGGAAATTTCATAACAAGGATTATTTGGAGAGAAAATTAAAAATGATGAAATGTTTGTAACTCCTTTTTTTTTTTTAATTAAATTATTGAAAATTTTGAAGTTTGAAATTTGAAAACAATAATATCTATCAATTATTAATGTTGATTATGATTTTACATAGTCAATTAAAGGACATGTTTTACCAAATGAATGCTACCATACGATATATATGAGGTTATTCATAGGCATTAGAGTGTTTGTCTTAGCCATCTTATCCAAACGTCAAATTTTAATTAAGAATAGACTTGAATGTACTTAGCTCACTCAATTCGAGAAATGAGTATTAGCTCGACCAATTGAACAAAGTGCGAGTTACTAGTTCAGTGGACGTATAGTCATTCATAAAATAACAAAAATACATAATAGTCATTTTTAATAACATTAAATGGTCTTATTTACAAATCCATCATTTAAATAAAATGGTTCTGCTTGACTTTTAAAAGTAATTTGAAAATTTTACTTAAAGTGTGATAGTTTAAAGAACAGCTATTCAAATTGAAGATCTTCATTTACTTTTTCCCTCAATCTTTTGAGGAATATTCAAATTATTAATGCATTTCAAAAATATGTTGCGAGCGCTACCTCAAATGAAGACTCTTCTAATTATCCTTTTAAATCTAATTTTTCACTGCACTTATTCATGAACTTTTTTTTTTTTTTTTAATCATCTGACAATTTGATTTTTGCTGGGGTAAGAACTAATTTGAAAATTTTGTTAAAAAATACAAAAAATTCTTGTGAATTAAAAAAAAAAAACAAAAGTTCACGATCAACAAACTATTGAAGTCACTGAAATATAACACAAAGATATTTATATCACAAAAATGCTATATGTACACAAACGTTTACACTTTCCTCACAAGAGAGGGGACCGCTCATTTCCCCCTTCTTGTGAGGGGCGTATAAACACTATTGTACAAATAGCAATTTTTTTTTTTTATATTATGGCTGATGAAACTTTTTGAGGCTAAGATGCTAGTTTTAAACATCTTTGAATACTTTTTTAAAAGTGCTTTGCTTGATTGAGGTAACTTTATCTGGAATTTTTTAAACCTAAATTATATCGATTTTATGTCATATGTTACATGATACAAATTCTTAACTAGAATTTTGAACCTACTTACAGTGCCAAATTTACAATGGAGTCAACTGCCTCAACATTAAACTTGAAATCCAAATTAAAATTTTGTAAAATTTGCTTCAACAACTCTACAATCCTACCTCTTCCCTTGACTTCTTATAGACGAGGTAATAATATTACAAGGTGTTGGTAGTTGAAATAATTATTCAAAGATCATATTAGCGATTCCATGATTTCACATATCTATTCATATACTATTATCTGCTAATTAAGATTTAATATACTATTTTCTTCTAGTTAAATCCAAACGACGCGGGTTAGAACGACTAATGGAGCAACTCAATCCATCATTGTTAATATAAATATAAGATTTTTGGATGCATCTCAAATGGTTCATGCGAATATTAATTATTTTAATTCTGTCACATTCTTTTATTTTCTCTTTTTCCCATTAAAATGAAGGAAGCTATTATATTCTCTTTTATTAAGGTTGACATAAAAATAAATTCAACTAAACGAAGTAAAAGAAGGCTGTTGCAAGTGGGAAGAATTACACACGTTTATGGTCTGGTCCGGGGATTTTGTGTTCGAAAAATGGGATTCTTAAATTGGGTCAAAAGCGCAGATTTGGAATTCCTTTCGGCTAGTAAAGCGTATATGGTCTGGAAAGATTACATTTGCTTTAATGAAATAAACCAACTTTTGAAATCTTATAAGATTTACCTCCGTCATCATGTTTCTAGACAACCTCAACTTATTCTAATAATTATTCATATAAGTTGTAAGTAGATAAAAAAAAAATATATATTAAATCAGTAATAAAATAAGAATTGTATTTTGAAGGGCATTATATAATGAGGAGACGGAACCTTAACCAAATAAAACTTTATGTCTTGAAAATTATTTATTTTTCTATATTACAAAGAAACTATGAGTTAAAAGAGATTAAACTAATATATCTTATGACACATATATTTTCTTTACCCTGCGTAGTCAACTTATTAATTATTTTACGTAGGATAAACTATAATTGTTTTCCTTTCAATGAATATAATTTTAACTTCAATTTCACTCGAGCATCATTCTAACCAAATAAATATATAATTTCGAGATCTCATGAAGGAGAACACAAATCTCGCTCAAAATTATGCAAAAACAGAACCACTTTCCTGTGGAAACATGCACGTCTTCATTAGGAAAACAGTAAATCCAGTTCAATCAAGAAATTGGACATATCATTTCAAATCATTTGACTTGATGAACAATGTCATGATTTTAGGCACTACATGCACGAATCTGGATTAAATCCCGTGTACAACCTGGCCATGTTTTAGAGAAATTTCTTCACATTCCAAGAATTTCTTGAATTCTAATGAGAAACCACACTATATGATAATAATATATTATTTCTGATTTGACAGAACCAACATTCCCCACAGAAGCTTCTAAACTTAGTTTAGCCCACTTGTAGGACCATCTTTTGAATTATAGACATTCCTATGATGTTTTTTTTATGTGGTGCAAACAAGTCATCAAAATTACTATTCCAACCATCATATTTGATTTCTTCGCTCACAGATGGTATATACTTTTCTCTCTAACGATCAAAAAATCAATTGTCATAATTACTATCGAACAGGCCCATAATATCAAAGTTAATGTATATGTAGCAAGATTGTTGATCTAATGCACCAACCCCTCTTCTTCTTAATATTTTATTGGATTCATAGAGAAATTTTAAGTATGATGAAATTACTTTTAATTTAATTTGTATGTTAGTAAATTAGATTAGATTAGACAGTAGAATGAATAAACTGGTACATGTCTTTCATTTTTAATCTCGTCTAGCTAGCATACATTATAAGAACCTGCCTTGTGATGAGATTTGCAAGATAATATGTTGATGTTGTCATTTAAGCAACACCCATAACATTGGAAAGGACTCAAGAATCATCAAGTAATAAAGAGTTCTCTACCAAATATTATGGCAGGGTAATCTATTGATTATTCTACATTTTTTCCTCCATTTTTGTTTACTACAAATCCATATACACACTATCTTATCTTTTAACCTGAATTAATTTAATTATTTAAATGAAATTTGAGCTATAGTTTAAGAAGCGCTCGTCATTCTTCATTTGAAATTATCGAGACTATATTCACATCATGTCACTCTTTTATTATCTTGAAGTTAAACTTCGATGTCTAATATTCTATGCCCTAAAATCTAATCTTATGACTGGAGGATGCTAAAGAAAAATTGAAGAATAAAGAGAATTAGAACATGGTCACTAGGTAGGTGAGTAAAACATTATGTTGGCGTTCATTTCTTCTTAACTGAATTTCAAATTTTTCTTCCTTCTAGCAGTACTTAAAACCCTTGTATCAGCAACGAGAATATCGATCATCGATGCTAGAAATTGTGTATATGAAAACTATAACTCAGTAAACTTTTGACATAAATTCTGGAGGTTTTTTTCAATATCAGTGAAAACCTTTAATCACTAAAAACATAGCTTCAGCCTTCAACTATTCATAGCTATTTCCTCGTTAATTTTCTGATTCCTCAGAGCGAGATCTATAGCAATACCTTCCTTGACGCCATCTTGATTTTTCGAGTTGACGATTACTCATTAGATGGTCGCACCACGTAGGCTAATTCCTACCCAAATATCTCACGTCCACAAGATCCTGAACCGTTTTGTTTCTTCATGACTAAGCTTAAGCCGGGACACACACGTTGATGTAAGCCCCATGCACACTTGGAAAAGCCAAGAGCTGCCCCCACCACCATTAGTGCTGCCTGACTCAAAAGCTACCCCTTTAAAACTTGCCAATTACCAAATTGCCACTATGTGGACCAGCCAAATCGCTTTCGGTTTGCCCTTAAATACCGCCATCCACCCTCTCGTTCCTTCCCTTTTCCCCTCCTAACCTCTCTCAACCCCTATAAACGGTTTCCGGCGATGATGTCAACATTTCCGACCGTTTTTTCCTCTGATTCTTTCTTCGGAAACCCATTTCCATCTTTCGAAGGCGGTTTCACTCCTTGGGATTCCCATGACCCGGCGTTTCTCTTTCCACCTCAAGAAGACGAGCCGGTCCTTGTTAGCCTACAACCACCCCAAGAACCAGTCAATTCCAATTCTAACAAACCATCCCCCCTCACTCCAAATTCATGTTCCGATGAACCGAACCGGAAAAGCTCTGAAACCGTGAGATCCGGTTCAGAGGAGACTAGCCGTTTAGGTGCACGAGCAATCATGGATGAGAGAAAGCGTAGACGCAAGTTATCGAACCGGGAGTCGGCACGGCGGTCCCGAATGCGTAAACAGAAACATTTGGAGAACTTGAGGAACCTCGAGAACCGGTTTAAAATTCGGAACCGGGAACTAACGAATCGAGTGGGTTTGATGATACGTCAGAACCAATTCGTCCGGCTAAAAAATGATAGCCTTCGATCGGAAGAGATCATGCTTCGGCAGAGACTTTGGGATATACGTCAAGTATTGGTCGTCCGGCAACTTCAGCAGCATTTAAATCCCTCTGCATGGCCATGCAATAACATTACGTCCATCAATGCGGAACAAACTCTACACCAGTCATTAATTACGTAATGTTTATATAATAGTAAAAATAAATAAGGCCGTTTTTGCCAAACGTGCATGCTTGCATGAGCCCTAGGAAAATCTTTCTTGTTAGTGTCCGTGTAAATTAAATCTGGGAAGAAACTAGTGATGATTTTTGGAACTGGTTGTAGTTTAGAAAAAATGGGTTGTTTGTTTTCTTTCTTCTTCTTCTTCTTCTTCTTCCTTTTTTTTTTTTCTTCAGTGACGTAGAGAGTTTATTGATGTATGGCTTTATATAATGGAATTTACTATTTGTACACGGATGTTTGTACATGCCCCTCACAAGAGGGGGGTCGCGCGTTTTTTGGCCCCCCTCTTGTGAGGGACACCCGTGTACATATAGCACGACCCTTATATCATAAATTTAATGTCTCAAATGATACATATCTAATTTTCAATTTTGTAATATTGAATCCG